ACTTAATTTAGCAGTTTCAAGTTACAAAAAAAAAATCTGGAGGACCTATTTTCGATAGATATACTTAAAACATAATTATTCCTAAAGAGTTCGCTTAAAACTCTTATTTAATTTACTTAAAAGTTTCATCATATCAAGTTATTTTTCTTGCTGACAAATTTTGTAATGGGGATAAGATCTTATCTGATTTCTAGTAAACCTAGGTACAATAAAAATATTATACTTAATGTTGATGACCCTAAAGAAATGTCTGTATTAATTAAACCAACAAACTGAAACTTATTTTCATTCATTTAAATTAAATCTATTTCATTTAATCTATTAATTCTAGATCATGTGATCCTAAAATTCATTTGGGTTACTTTCTTTTATATTTCTGAGTATTTATATAAGCACTTAATTTCCTTTAAGCCAATTAAATAGAGTCCTTTTACAAATTAATATTGGCAATACCACACCTCTACAACACACATATATAAATATATACACACAGACACATAGTTTCCACTATGTGGACAGAGAATATAGGCAATATGTTATAGTAACTTTAAATGGAGTATAATCTTTAAAAATATTGAATCACTACATTGCACACCTGAAACTAATATTGTTAATCAACTATACTTCAATAAAAAACAAAACAGAACAAAACAAAACTCTCTCCTAGGACTGTTTAAAGATTTTAAATATTTTGTTTAAACACAAGTCATTATAAATATACAGCAGAGGAAATTTATTTCCCCCTATTATTAAATCATAATTCTAAATCTCTAAATAAGTTGTAAATCCAATTGTAAAAATTTAAACATGAATACATCATTTTCAAAGGCTTATGCATATTATTATTTGTTGAAAAGAAGCAAATCTCAAATTACCACAGAAAAGAAAGTGGTAGTAAGATGGTATTTAATAAAATTCTAGACCCTGTAGCTTGGATGTTAAATGGCTGCACTGTTTATTTTGCGGAAATGGCAGAGCATTGTCTTTATTTTTCAAACGAAGTCAAATCACAAAATGCCACTTGATGTTAGAAATCTGCATATTTTGTTCTGGCATGATTTCTTCCATACAGACTTCAGCTTTATGTCCACTAGAAGAGATTAAAATACACAAAGAAAAATAAATTCAATCAAAATATACATAAGGAAAAGTTTATACAAACTGTAAGTTCTCTGGGAAAAGTCTCAGAGAGAGAAGCCTTTCTTATACAAAAAGAATTGTATAAAGAGCTAGAAATGCTATTCTAAATTAAAACAAGGTCACATTCAGATAGAAGCCAGATATGAGAAGCACTATTATCAAATAAATCATATTTGGGAATAAATATGACATAAACTTTTTTTTCTATGAGTCAAGCAACAAATGCTACAAGTAAAAAGAATTTGCAGAAACCAAAACTAACAATCAGGAGAAAGGGTAAAGGCATTTCTGAACATAATGGATTTGACAGAGATGTTAAGCATAAGGATTTTTCTTCCCAAGTCTTATGGTATGTGATTGACTGGGAAGGTATGTTATACGCATCTATTGAGTGTTTGAAGTCTTGAAATGACCCAAAATGAAGTGAACAAGAGGGACAAATAAGTGAAAATGGAAAGATTATGTATATCACTATTAGGAAGAACTGAACCTTAAAATAATACTTCAGGATAATTTTAATATGCATGAATATTATAATTATATAATTAGGAGAAAACTTTTGTTATAGAGATTTTAAACAGACAAAATGAAAACAAAATCTACTTTTTCAAACTTTTCACAACACAACTGAGTGCTCTAGCCTCATCCTGCATCTTCTGTTCTACTGGGCACAATCCATGTTAATAAAGGACTTGTACGTATGGACTCAGACCTTTATTTTCATCCCAAACCATTTAAGATGTACAAAGTAGTGTTATTCTGTGTGGTCTGGTTTTGGTGCTAATCTTACATTCATTACTACTTTGCAACAAGATTAGTAGAGAAATTGAGAGTAAGCATTTATGTTCGTTTATAATAATTTGATATTGCCATAACATTTTGATTGCATGTTACAGAATGATCAGTCCACAATGGTTTGGAAATTAAACCAAACAAAATTTATCTTAGCCCACATTTGAGAAGCAGGGAGAGCCTGAGCTTAAATAGGAGGTATTATATATTTTGGTCAATATATAGAAGAAACACTAGGATAATGTATACTTTGGACCTTTGAGCCCCTGACGTTCTTTTTTTCGGGAAAAACATGTATTTTTTCCTTTACAGAATATCAGAACTTTCACGACTGCCTAGTACTGCCAAAAGAAAATATCTGGATGTTCTGAAGATAACTCCATAATTTTTGTATTAACGACAATGAATACTAAGTACCAGATTGAGCTCAGGCTTTTCAAGGATCATGCATTTTATTTTTTATATTTGTATTTATTTGTGAGACATTTCAGTTGTCTCTGAAAGCTCAAGTGAGTTGGTGGGATAATTGATAAAGAACATTTTGTAGATATTTCTATAAGACACATCTGGTAGCTCAAGAAAGAAAAAGGAGCTTTTTAATGGAATGCCCTAAATGGTGTGGTATTAAGGGCAAGGCACAAAAGGAGATCAATGGCACAAGATATCAGCACTGGAAAAGGGATAGAAAGATTAACCAAACTAGGGCTTCCCTGGTGGCGCAGTGGTTGAGAGTCCGCCTGCCGATGCAGGGAACACGGGTTCGTGCCCCGGTCCGGGAGATCCCACATGCCGCGGAGCGGCTGGGTCCGTGAGCCATGGTCGCTGAGCCTGCGCGTCCAGAGCCTGTGCTCCGCAACGGGAGAGGCCACAGCAGTGAGAGGCCCGCGTACCGCAAAAAAAAGAAAAAAAAAAAACCCACAAAGCACAGATTGGGAGAAAATATTTGCAAAACACATAAAGAACTGGTATCCAAAATATACAAATGACTCAAAACTCAACAACAACAAAAAATTAAAAAGTGGGCAAAAGGTCTGAACAGACACCTTTCCAAAAAAGTTATACAGATGCAGATAAACATATGAAAAGATTGTCAAGAGTACATATCATCAGGGAATTGCAAATTAAAACGATGAGATATCACTACACAACTGTCTAAATGGCTACAATCTCCAAACACTGATAACAAATGTTGCCAAGGATGAGAAGCCACAGAGAACTCTCATTCATTGCTGGTGGGAATGCAAAATGATACTGCTACTTTGGAAGACAGTTTTGCCAGTTTTTTTCCAAAGCTAAACATAGTTTTACCATATGAGCCAGCAATTGTGCTCCTAGGTACTTCCCCAAATGAGTTGAAAGCTTATGTCCACACAAAAACCTGCCCATGAAGGTTTATGGCAGCTTTATCGATGATTGCCAAAAACTGGAAGCAACCAAGATGTTTTTCAATAGGTGAAAGAATCCATACAATGGATTAAAAAAATGTTATCAAGTCATGAAAAGATATGAAGGAACCTTCAGTGCGTATTACTAAGTGAAAGAAGCCAGTCTGAAAGACTACATACTGTATGATTCCAACCATATGACATTCTGGGAAAAGCAAAACTATAGAGATAGCAAAAAGATCAGTGATTGCCAGGGGCTTGAGAGGGGTGAGGGAAGAGGGAAGGGATGAATGTATAGAGCACACGAGATATTTAGGGCAGTAAACAATCTCCTGTATAATATTGTAATAGTATATAAAATGTGTATGTGTATATATATATATATATATACACATATATATGTTTGTGCGGGGGAGTGTCTATCAGCTTTATTGAAGTATAGTTGACCTGCAATAAACTGCACATATTTATTTGAAGTGTACACTTTTAAATGTTCTGACACGTGTACACCCATGAAACCATCACCACAAACAAGATAATACATACATACATATAAAGAGGCTATTTTCCTGATCAAAAAGAACTGATTCAGCAGGTGTATACTTTTCGCCCTTTGTCCTGTATCTTTTTCTTTTGGAACGTGGACACAATCTCTACCTATGTAGACGCTTTTATGAGACAATGAGAATAAAAATCATGTGAAAAGTGTGAAGGATCAAAAAGACAGAAGGAACCTGAGACTTCTTCGATGATTTTTGAAACCACCCTATCAACCCTAGACTGCCTAGGTCAGGAGTTCTCCTTTGGAAGAAAAAATACTCCTATTTGGTTAAACCATTGCAGTTGAGTTTCTCTTATAAGGAGATGAAGTTAGAAATTCCTAACTGACATAGCTATCCATTAGCTGCACTTATAAAATATTTTCTTTCAAAAAGAAAACCAACAGAAAAAAAATCTTAATGATCAGAAATATAACTTTTCCCAAATCTTTCTGTAATCTTTCTATAATGAAATATAATCCTGATCCTGGAAGTTGCCTGAATAAGGCCAGGGGTCACTACTAAGGTGGAAGAGGAATGGGTGAGGAAATTTGGGGATTTTCACCCTGAAGAAAAGTCTGCATATGAAGGGAGGTAACAGCTTTCTTCAAATATCTGAAGGACTTTCCATTGGATTTATGACTGGCTATTAGACGTGTAATTGGTACCACATGTAAAAGGCTCATGGAGGCAATATAACCATGTTATGTGGAAGAACTTTTAAATCCTTGTCAAAAGTATGCAAGGATGTAATATAAGCTATGGTAGAGTTTTCTGATGTTGCCAAGGGTTCAAGCCTAGGCTGAAAACCTATTTGGCAGGAGATTTTGTGATTTATTGTCCAAATAATACAACCCAGAAGATTTAAGTGAATAACTTTAGGGAGTCAGATAATATACGCAAAGGAAAAACTGGAATCCAGAGCACTGAGCTTTCAAAGACCACACTCTTCCCATTAAACCACATCATCTCCAGGAGACAACTACAAAAGAGATTTAAATAACAGATGAGAATTTGATTAGAGGAGTTTTAAGGTATCTTCCCAGACTGCAGTTACTGATTTCTCAAAGGAAAAGAAAGAAACAAAATTTAGAGTGTTCCATAAATGAAAAATTGAGGATGCCTCTTGCATTTAAGGATCTGTTCATTTTAGTGGAGTCTCTACGCTTACTAGGAGTCCTGGTTCTGGAACAGGGGCAGGCCTTGAAAAACGTTTACTAAATTTCCTCTTCTGTTTCCTTAGGTTTTGCATACGCTCAATACGTTTATCTGTGGACTTTGGGAAAATTAAAAGGAAAGAAGACATTTACAATGTTAACAGCATAGCATGCTGACAACATTTTTGGTTTGTGTCCATAAAAAAAGATAAACACAATCAGTGCATACAGCTTACATAGCTACATAGAAATAGGAAAAAAACTTTTTGCAAATGTGTGATTTATAGATGAAGAAAACATCTTGGTGCCTCAGTATTCTTGTTTTTGTGGTCTTAGTTGGGGCACGTGGGATCTTCGTTGCGGCGTGCGGGATCATTCCTTGTGGCACGTGAGCTTCTCTCTAGTAGTGGTGCGAGGCTTTTATCTCTTCTCTAAGTTGTGGCGTGCGGATTTTCTCTTCTCTAGTTGTGGCGCATGGGCTCCAGGACAAGTGGGCTCTGTAGTTTGCGGCATGCAGGCTCTCTAGTTGAGATGCTTGGGCTCAGTGTCGTGGCGTGCGCGGGTTTAGTTGCCCTATGGCATGTGGGATCTTAGTTCCCCAACCGAGGATCGAACCCGCGTCCCTTGCATTGCAGAACAGATTCCTTACCACTGGACCACCAGGGAAGTCCCACCTCAGTAGAGTTTTCAAATGAAACTATTTACTCTTTATTTCCACTTCATTAACTGTGCACAATAGTGCACAATATGGACAAGAGAAAACAATGTTAAGAAGGAAAAATAGGACTTCTTTGGTGGTGCGGTGGTTGGGAGTCCGCCTGCCAATGCAGGGGACACGGGTTCGAGCCCTGGTCCAGGAAGATCCCACATGCCGCGGAGCAGCTAAGCCAGTGCGCCACAACTACTGAGCTCTGCGCTCTAGAGCCCGCGAGCCACAACTACTGAAGCCCGAGCGCCTAGAGCCTGTGCTCCGCAACAAGAGGAGCCACCGCGTGAGAAGCCCGCACACTGCAACAAAAAGTAGCCCCCACTCGCCACAACTAGAGAAAGCCCGCACACAGCGACAAAGACCCAACGTAGCTAAAAATAAACAAATAAATTTATTTTTTTAAAAAAATAAGGAAGAATAAATCATACAATGAACTTTGTGTGATCTTATGTTTATAAAGTTCAAAACCAAGAAAAACAATATCCTTTTAGAAGCACGTAGGTGATAAACTATTAAAGAAAGAGATTAGCTTGATAAAAATAAAATTCAAGGTAGTGGTTACCTCTGGGAGAGACACAGGGAGGTCGAGTAAGGAAGCGGCTCCTAGATGAGTTCAAGGATACTCATGTTTTCTTAAATTGGAGGTATATTTTGTTACCCTGCTGTAAAATTATGTATGCTACATATATCCTTGTGTATGTATCACGTTACATTAAAAAAAGGAGAATATTAAACCATTTAGGTTATCTTAGTTAAGACTCATTCTGATAGTAGTCACAAGATCCTAGAGTCTCAAGAAAGATAACACAGAAGTGTCTAGCTGATAGAACTTTTGTCCTATTAGGGACGATCACACATAAAGGGACAAGATAAAGTCACACTTTTGAATTAACCATAATTATTTATTTAAACATTACCTGCCTTTCAGTGACGTCTGAAGGATAATGCCATTTTGAGCCTTCCTACATAACATGTAAAATTAAAAAATAAAATAAAACTCATGAGCAAACAGAAAAATCAGCTATTATAATAGGAACCCTATGCTACTGTTTTCTATTTATGTAATAGATGCCTATTATCTCAACTGCAAGAGGCAGGATCAGAATAAGAGCATCAAAGTAAACATTGGGGTGGAAGATGAGATAGTATTTTGAGAAAAAAGAACCTGCTATGAACCACATTACCGGGACTACTGAGATTTATTCTGGAAGGAAAGGGTGTACAAGAAATCCAAAAATTCATGTTTCTGTTGGTACTGAATATTGTCATGCTGGGTCTGGCCCCCAGCAGGTGCGAGGTGGGGCTTTTCCTCCTCCCGGTGGGTCCTGCAGCCCAGAAATTAGTCTGCCTCCTTCACCCGGGATTTCCCAACCCCAAAGCACCAACCCCCGCGTAAAGGCCAGCAGCGCGAGCGGCCGAGGCGGCCTCCCACGGGGGAGGCCGGCGCCAGGGTGGCAGAGGGCCCGGGGGGACTCACGGGGTTGACTTGGACAGCGTCGTCCTCCCTGCAGCACAGGCACATTCTGCAGAGCCTCGCAGCGCAGCGGCGCCCACTGCCGAACCCCCGCCAAGTCCTCGCGGGTACGCCACCTACGGCCCGCGAGCCCCACCCGGTCCCGTCACAATTCTCTTTATCCTGGCCGGGAGGGCCCCGCCCTTTCCCTTAGCTGTCTTCCAATCCCAGTGCCGGGAAGGTGGAGTTCCTAGCCTCAGAAGAGCATCTGTGGAACTAGGGATGTCAGGTCACCACAATCCCCTATCCTTCCGGCTCTGTCGCTCAAACACCCACATAACACCAATTTTCTATCTTCCAGTCCGGAACTCTCTACTCTCTCTCCAGGGAGTTCCCTTCCCTTCTAACACATCTAGCTTAGATTCCACGGTCCCTCACATTAGCCTATCCTCAGGGTTCTGAATTCCAACACCTCATTGTTCTTCCGTCACAGTTTCCAGTTGGATCCATCCAACTACTTGTCTTCAGGTCCATAACCGGGCTGAAGGGGGGGAAATCTTGAAGATGGCTACAATACATATTCATGATCTCCAGCTTAAACTGGGTCCTCATCGCTGCTTAACCACTTTCATGTTGCACTACCTCTTTCATTTTAGTACTCCTCAGCATTTCCTTCAAACTTTCTTCCCTCTATTAAAATCTGAATCCACCATCTCCCCATCACTTTTAGCAGAAGTAGGACAGTTCTTGCTTCACACACTAATAATGGCTAACACTTCTGTAAGGCCAACTGGCCCGAGGCAGGGGAACACAATCAGATTCACAGGTTGCATCAGACCGAAATTCTCCGGACCACCCAGTTCCAGAAACTGCCCTGGAGACATTCCGGACCACCCAGTTCCAGGAACTGACCTGGAGGCATTCCGGACCACCCAGTTCCAGGAACTGACCTGAGGACTTTGAACCCAGCCCAGCCTTCCTGCTTTTCGAGGGGCGGGACTAACGGTCCCCCAGGATACCCGAAAAGACCACCAAATAAGGAATACCCTGCGCCCTCCGAGATTCACCACACCCCTTTCCCTTCTTCCCCTATAAAATCTTGCCCAACCGTCGCCGGGGTGCGACTTCTCTGGCCCCTTTCTCTCGGACCAGTGAACCTCGCCCGGGAGTGCTCCATAATAAAGCTCACTTGAAGCTTTCCTCTGTTTCGCGGTGCCGTTTGTTAAGATCCGACCTTACAACTTCTATAGAGTTTATGCTTAGCATATTAACTCATTAACTTCTTATAGCATCCCAACAGGGTAAATGTGTGATGATTACGGGCTGGAAAATAAGGGACTAGTATGTTAAATAACTTGCCCAAGGTTGTACAACTGGAGAGTGAGCTGGGATTTAAATCCACAGTCTGCCTCCAGAGCCTGTGCTCTTAATACTGTGCTATGCCACCAACTGCTTTTAAAAGCGATAAAACTAATTCTGGGCATGCAGAAAGAATTTAGTAACTGGGAATAACTGCTGCTGCGGTCCATTGCTACTGCCAGGTGAAGTGTCATGGCTAGAGTGACACTGAGAGCAAGAGAACAGGTCTGAGTCCAATCCTTCTCCCCTCCACCTGCCTTCCAATCTCCCTTCAGCACCCACTATTGGCTAAATCTACAAGGACTCCAGCTAGCTAAATTTCCAGCTCTTTTATTTCTAAAGAGAAATAAAATACGCTGAGTCCCAGCCCTGGCTTCACAAAGTAGAATATGGAAGAGTGAGTTTAGAGCTGAAAGACAAAAGGTCAACAAGTGGCACAGCAACCATCGTGCCCTAAATCCCTTTGCAGTCCTTCAACTATACATCTTTGAGAATGGTTTCAAACCTCCCCACTACCCATATTGATAACCTGTATCACACTACAGTCAGCCAATGTCCTGCACCAGACACAAATCTCAAAATGTGATATGGCCAAGAGTAAGGGGCAAGGGTATTAACTTTCTGATTCTGGACAGTATATTTGCATAAAAATTGCCTTTGCAGAAAAAAATGCACTTTAACTGTAAAATAAATTATGAAAACTCCTAAATACTAAATGTAAGCAGAATCAATATTCCTACTTATTCATGTTTGATTGGTATAGAGCTGCAATTCTCAAAGTAAACTCCAGAAAATACCACCATCCCAAAATGTTTTACATGAAATTTTACATGAAAAACAAAATAAGTAAACAAGCCACACTTCCCTCCTACCTAAAAATGGGTACTGAGTTCAAATAAGTTTTGGACATTATGGGTTAAACAAAGTTAAATAAGTATCTTTACTGTAGAACTACTCAAACCCTATTAATATGCTAAAGTGATTATGAATTTCCAAAAGGGTATATATTATACTTTTGTCTAACTTATTGCTTGTGGGACCCTTTTTCAGTGTCCCATCTGTAATCTCTCTCATTTACACGTGGAGGATTCTAGATTAAAGACTGAATCCTTTTACTGAATAACTAAATATTATTTTATATTACTTTAAGCATGACCTTGCAATGTCATAAACTACATCAATAATTTTTTTTTTAATTATTTATTTATTTATTTTATTTATTTTTGGCTGGGTTGGGTCTTCGTTGCTGCACGCGCGCTTTCTGTAGTTGCGGCGAGTGGGGGCTACTCTTCGTTGCGGTGCGTGGGCTTCTCATTGCAGTGGCTTCTCTCGTTGCGGAGCACAGGCCCTTGGCACGCGGGCTTCAGTAGTTGTGGCGCACGGGCTTAGTTGCTCCGTGGCATGTGGTATCTTCCCGGACCAGTGTTCGAACCCGTGTCCCCTGTATTGGCAGGAGGATTCTTAACCACTATGCCACCAGGGAAACCCCATCAATGACTCTTAATATCAATATTTAAATCAGATTTTTCCCACATGCAATTGTTTTTCTCATTTTCTGTCTAAGCAAAATTTGCTGATCTTTGTTTTATATCTTAAGTGGCCGTTTCATAATGCAAGTAAGATTAGCTTGTTAGAGTGTTTCTGCACTGCAGCTGGTATTTTTATTATCTTTGTGTATTTGAAAAATATATACTGATGAAATCAGTTGAAGTAACATTGCACTAATAAATGCTATGTCTATATCTTGTAAAACAGGATAAGATTTATCAAATAGAATATCTACACAATTTTCCTTAGTTTAAATATTAAGTATTTTCTTTCATTTTTTGCAAATGAAATCATTTTAGGTTTGTGTCTCTTCAGCTTTCTTTTCTATCATCCCTAGTATTTCAAAACTTGGTTATTTAGCAACTGAATTTATAAAAACATTTAGATATTTCATTCACATTTTTAAAAGCTTGTCATGTTTGACATTTCCATAATTAGATTTTATTTTGTAAGATTATACAAATATATAGTGCAAGTTCTTAAAAAACTAAACTGTAAGCTTTTCCACATAAATGAAACAACTTATGCAGAAATACAAATGGAATGTCAACATTGATCTGTCTTGTGCCATTATTTACAGATTTTCTGTTTTGTTAGTTTGTTTTCTGGGTTTCCAACAGGCCATGGAACCTATTTGGGGGCATTAAGGAACTTTACTTATTTACTTTGACTTCTATATAACTATTTTTCAATTTGAAACTATTTTCCACAGTACATAGGAGAATTTTGACAAATTCATATATTTAGAATTTTCCTATGATTTTATTTTTAAAAATAGCTTTGAGGGAGTAAAACTTTTTTAGATCCTAAGATTCTCTAAACACTGGAAATTTTTCTTACAGTTAAAGTCTGTTCCCTTTCCGGGATAAAATGCTATTTGTCTACTTAGTAAATAAGATGTTGACAGATTCATCACTCTTTCTTTTTAGCCATTTTTTCATTCTACAAATATCTATATCCAGTGAATAACTTCTGTTCCAGTCTCTGTGGCTTGTGCTAGAGTTTTAGTACTGAATAAGCCAGATTCCTATATGAATGGGTACTGTGTAAAATAATACCAGTGTAGGGCTGACTCCATGGGTGTACAGTCTGTGTAATCACACTTAGAAAGATTGATGCTCTGCTCTTGCTGTCTTAAAATTCTTAATTTTTAAGCAAGTGGCTCTGCATTTTCATTTGGCACTAGGACCTGCAAATTGTGCAGGTTGTCTTGATCCTACCCCACAACGTTTGTGAGAAACATCGTTCTATCTATCATCTATCTATCTATATCTATCATTATATCTCTGGGACACAGTAGCATTTTGTATCATTTTTTATTATTATTTTATGTAGGGAGTTTATAGCAGATTTTTCCTTTTCTGTACCCATGCAGTTAAATTGTGAAATCCAGGTTAGAGACTTTTAATATGTCTATATTAAGTTACATCTTTTTAAATTCAACCTATCATTTCATCCTGTCAAGAGCCCTTTTTGTTCTCTATAGCAGAGCACCTCCATGTCATCTGCTGACCAGATCAGCTTGTTATCATCATCCAAATTTGTGATGAAAATCTTGCACAGAACAGGATTGAGAAGAACGCTCTGTGTCTCAGCACAGAAAGATGCACAGAAGTTTCATCCATAAGTATTTACCAGTACCTTTTGGCAGAATTGTTTATTCAGTTATAAATTCACTCAACTTTGATATCAGCTAGATCTGATTATATCCATCTTGTCCACATTAATATCATGAAATACTTTTTCAAATATATTATTGGAATCTGGATGTGCTTTAAGCTACTAGTCCACATTGAAGCTTGTTCAGTAAACTTCTCCCTAACTTAGAAATTGACTTAGATAAAATTCTAGAGTTAATAGTGCATAAAGAAAGCAATAAAGGAGTTAAACTAGGGAGGAAAAAAAAACAGCATATTTGTTGGACTGTTTTATATTTATTTCGTGGGTTAGTGTATTAGTTTTCTATGGCTGCTGTAACAAATTACCACAAACTTGGTGGCTTACAGCAATAGAAGTTTATTCTTTTACAGTTCTGGAGCCAGAAGTCTGAAATCAAGGTGTCAGCAAGGCTTTACTCTCTCAGGGGGCTCTCAGGTAGAATCTGTTCCTTGGCTTTTCCAGCTTCTGGTGTCTGCCTGCATTCATTGACTTGAAGCTACATC